AAACTTAAATTGTCATTTGCCTAAATAAACACTTTCTCTATTCCAAAACCCCAGTGCGATATCAAGTCACACTAACTAAACTAATCTCGTTAAACCATCTCAGCTTTCAGTACTTTTTCTCCTTATTGTCTGACGTTCATACACTATCCCAAAGTGACCTTCTAAAAGGTCACTGAGAGATGGCTCAGTGGTTAAGAGCACTTGCTGCCCTTTCAGAAGGCTGGAGTTCAGTTTCCAGCACCTATGTCAGACAGGTCAAAACCACCTGTAAATTCAGTTCTAAGAGTTTTGATGTCCTCTTCTGACCTCTGCAGGCAACTATACTCATGTGGCATTCACACACACACATACACAAATCTTAAAATAAAAGCATAAATCAGATAAGCTCATACCACTGCCCTGCCTAAACCTCTGATGACTTCCTATGGTGTGCAGAGTCATCCAGAATTCTCAACTCTGTAAAGACATATATGACATACCCTATGTCTATTTTTCCCACTTTACTTTTGTTTGTTTTAGCCAGTGATACTGCATTCTTTTGATCTTGAACCAAGGAGTCTCTTTTTATGTTTTTGGCCTTGGGTCATGACAGTAGCTCTGGCTATAGTGATTCACAGTGGTGACAGGTGGTGTCTACTGATGGTTCCTACTAACCATATGCTGACGTGCTGTGTATGTGTTAGTGCACATAATACAGCAGCTTTATGAGGTTGGTACTATAAATTATTTCCACTGTGCAGATGAGGTAGGACCTAGAGTTTTGACTTAGAAGATATTAACTCTACTATTTTTTCAGATATCAATTTAAATCTTTTATCACCCAAATAATAAACAAAAGCTATCACCAAAGTATATTTCTAGATCTTGCCATTTTAGATTCCATTAGTATTTCCTTAACTTATGTTTTGGCATTATGACATCAATCATTATGACACACAACTCAGACATTATTTTCTAGGTCCCCATTCAGAGAATATCTCAACGTCCTCCTCTTGAACATTCTTCCTCATCTTAATACTTAGCCCACTGCATAGACACGGAGCAGATCCTGGTCATCCTGGCCAATGTCTTTATCTCTTTGAAACAGGTCCTCATACTCGGACACTACAAAACTCACTTTTTATCTGCCTTAATTTCCAGAAATGAGTTTATCTAAGTATTGCTCTAGCTTAATACTCGGGTTTTTACAATCATTTGCTCTTGTCCAATTCTAAACGTCTTCTATTTTCCACTATGATCTTATTTTCCTCCAGACTGTTGAGTTATCTAAGCGTGTGTATTTCAGTCAGCCAAATTTATTTTATTCCCCTTTTCTTATTAACTTAAAACAATTTCACCACAGACAAAGAAAGCAGATTTCTTGGACTGAATACCCAGGTTTAGTATTTTTCAGACCTGACGTCATAAACTCTTCTTAGACAATTTCATCTATTACAATTTTTTTTCATCTAATACCACTTGTAATGACTATTGTGCCTCTATATGTATCTCTACTCTCTGAACCTCAGGCCTATAGTTTCTATATAATTGTTAATCTGTAATTTCTATAAGCACGTCAACCCAAGAAGATCTAAATCAAAGGTATTAGTTCCAACTACTTTGAACTTCCTCATCTTCTTCTCCCTCTTTTATTCTCCATATTTAGAAAAATAATCCACATTTTATCTAAATACTCAAATAAGAATAATAAAATTATATTATAGTCCTCACTCAAAAACTGAATGAGCTGAACTGAGTAGTTCATGTTATAAATTTTATTTCCTGATTTTTCTATTGATCCACTCACAGATGAGATCATGGAACATCATTGTTAATCCTTTGTTCTACTGTTTTATCCTTCTGAGTAATTAAAAGAATTAACTAGTCTCCTTGAACCATCGTTGCCTTCTTTTTTATTACCCATATCCTGGTGTCATGCACATATCTCATAAAGCCTGAGAACCCACTTCTTGCTAAGAAATCTTTGTTCAAAGCCTGCAGGATAAAGTATAAAATTAATATAACACATACAAACTTTTACCTGAGAAAATTCATCCACTTTGCAAATAGAAACATTATAAGTTTGATTTGCTATTAAATATACTTTAAATTCCTGGATCCATAGTTACATTAAAAGTTATGGCAAAGACGAACTGGTATAAAAGTATTGCCTCCCACAGTTACCTAAGTATTATGTGTTTATGAACTAGAGAAATTGTGATCATTGAATTGAGCTCGCTGCCCCAAATAATCTTGCACTAATTCTTCAGAATGTACATGTGACATCTTTGGGCCTATGAAGAAATTTAATGGAGGCGAAAAGGAAGAATGGTATAGTCAGAGGTCAAGGCCTTCTGTTAGCAGCGTGGAAATCAAAGACAATGAAGCCAACATCGGGACTGGTGAGGGCTAATTATAAAATTTCAAAGGAAACAGAAAAAGTAAGCATCTTTGGATGACACGGTAGTAATGAAGACATAATTCATAACCCAGTAACCATACTTTATACCAAAGAAGAAGATGGTCCAAATTCAAGTGTACAAAGAGACAGCAAGACCTGTCTTGGGACACAACTGACAGTTGTGATATGCTCTTTTAAAATAATTAAATGTACATTTAATTCTGTATCCTCAGTATGAAAAGTCAGGTAAATCCTATTTGTTCCAGAAAAGTTTCCATTAAAATTGATTGAAATAAAGAATGTAAGTTCATACAGAGATAAAAGTTTTTAATCTGAAGTTTTATCTTTTTCATTAACTCTAAAACTATATTTATTTGTAAGATAAACATTATAATTTGATACGAGCAATGTTTTTTAATATATTTCTTTGTCAAAAGAACTCTAAGCCTGGGCATAGTGGCACACGCCTTTAATCCCAGCACTTGGGAGGCAGAGGCAGGCGGAACCCTGTGAGTTCAAGGCCAGCCTGGTCTATGTAGTGAGTTCTAGGACAGCTGGGGCTACAGGGAGACCCTGTCTCAAAAAGACCAAAAAAATAAAATAAATAAAAGAACTCTAAGATATTATTGGACTTAATAAATATTTAAGTCATGACTATACAATTATTTCAATCAGTGCCAGTTTAGATATCAATTTAGAAGCTATATATACATATATTCCTCATTTTTACTAGTTCTTTGAGAATTTAATACAATGTATTTTGTCATGTCCATCCTTTTCCCCTGACTCCTTTCAGGTCCACTCCCCCTTCTTGACCTACCCAACTTTGTATGCTCTCTCTTTCTCTCTCTCTATTTTTCAAACCTATCAATTCCAGTTTGTGCTGCTTACATATTCTTGGGTGTGTGAACATCCACTGGAGCCTGGTCAAGCTGCCAGGGGCCAAATGCTCAAAACAGAATCAGAAGGATGAAGGTTGACATCAGTATTCTATTATTTTAATTCCTATTCCTTCCTAGCAATAAAACTAAGTGCAATGCAATTCTTTGATATTTGATCTACCAACAATAAATGTGTTTTAAAATTAGAATTAAACAAGAGCAATTTACTAAAGAAATCAGCAAACCCTGAAAAGTAGCTGTGGAATCAGAGGTAGGCAGGGATTTACACAGAGGAAAAATCCATCTGTATAGTACAATTCTGGAAACCGCCTACAGCTCTGCCACTGAGGAGGTTTTTGTGCCCTGGTTTATTTATTTTGAAGCCAATTACTATGAGTTAGATGTATATGTGTGTGCACAGATGTGTATAAGCATATACATATCCACATATGTGTTTGGGCATGTATTTCTCAAACTAGGGTGAACTTCAGAAGATTTCTCTCATGTAGTACATGGTGGGTTTTTTGGTTTGTTTTGTTTGTCTTTTTGAGACAGGGTCTCCCTGTAGCCCGAGGTGGCCTGGATTTGTTATGGAGACCAGGCTGGCCTCGAACTCACAGAGATCCGCCTGCCTCTGCCTCCCAAGTGCTGGGATTAAAGGCGTGTGCCACCACGTCCGGCCATGTAGTACATATTTAATTCAAGATATGATCCACAAAATCCAAATGTTTCTCCTCAGAAGCTTCTGGACCATGAAAACTTTCAAAACAGAAACTGCTCTTTATGAAGCCTGAAGCCAAAGACAAAATTTTAAGGAATAAACAAACAAACAATATGTTATCAGCTTAATTGCATTTATTCTAGAATATGAAGTCCAAATGAACTATGCATTTAACAAGAACTGGAGGCATTTTCTATTAATAATTGAGTGGTGTTTTCCTCCAATTTTGTTTTCAAAATGTATATATTAGTAATAGTTGTTTAACAGAAAAGATAAATCAGCTGTGATTTCATCAGGACAAAAATGTAGACAGCCCAGGCTTAGCATCTCCAATCCAAAAATCTGGAACATAAAATGTTCCAAAAATCTTAAAATACAGGAAGTGCAAGTGGATGAGCCACACCTGCCTGTCTGTGAAGAGTCACAGTCAAACTCAGGAGCATGGAAAACATTATACTGATGTGCCTTTGGGGTACGAACTCATGAAACACAAGTGAATCCATACATGGGTTTGATTTCCATTGTAATTATGAAAAGAATTCAGCATTCAAAATATGGAACAGTTCTGGCACTAGGAACTTCAGCTAAGGTATGCACAATTTCCTTGAGATCCCTGATGGAATAAATGCAGTTTAAACTGATTGACACAAACAAACTTTAAAGAGGATTTTTCTCAAGCTTACTACATGAAAAAAAAAAGGGGGGCTGCCAATCAAATTTAATTTCCATCATTTTTTTGTTTTAAATTTATTATTTTTCAGGGGCTGGAGAGATTGCTCAGTGGTTAAGCACACTGGTTGTTCTTGCAGAAGACCCAGGTTCAAATCCCAGCACCCACACGGCAGCTAACAACTGTAACTCCAGTTCCAGAGGATCTGACCTCCTCTTCTGTCCTCCGCAGGCATCGCACAACACAGGTGCACTGACATACATGCAGTCAATATACTCATAAAAATAATAAATAAAATATTTTTTAAATATTTTTTAAAAATTTATTATTTTTCAATCAATGTTTTACCTCTGGTCCTGGAGGGCCAGATGGTCCCTGGGGTCCTGGGTCACCTGGTTGTCCCTAAAGGGGAAAGGAGAAATCAAAGTATAGATATTAACTTGGTAAATATAACTGAAAGAGGAAACAGGTATACAGTAAATAAATTGCACTCAATATATTATGTCAAAGTTGTAATGACTTTCCAGTCTTAATTTGTAACCATCGTCACTTTAAAATTTACTTAAATAAACTGTTTATGGATATAATATATATTTACTTCTGTAAGAGATACAAACACATGAACTCATTAAGTGGCCCAATCAAGAAAAGTTTGTGTGTGTGTGTGTGTGTGTGTGTGTGTGTGTGTGTGTGTGTGTGTGTATGTGAAACTGGCTGGTAAAGCAGGAATAGGGAACTCTGACGGAAGAACTGCTTTTTATGAATAATCAGCACCCTAGGACATCTCTGAAAACTTCTCTCCCCTTTGATGCTGTAAGTGACTTGATGCAGTAAGACTCAATTGGAATCCCTGTTGCTTAAGCTCTCTAAGCCTCACTTCTCTCATCATGAACATAAAGATGGAACGTCGTTGGCAGCACCAATATTCTCTGAGCGTCATTGTGAGAATGAAATGAAATCATATATGGAAAGTGCTAAGCCAGGGCACAAAACATACCAATGTTAACTAAATTTACAATAACTCAGCCTTTGTTTCCTACCCTTACTTCTCTGCTGTCTAACCCCTGTAATTCCAGGATCACTGTGACCCTTGAGTTCAGTTGTTGAGGGTTTGGTCTCAGTGTTTTGGAAACTGGTTTCTAAGACTCATCTTAAAGTTTTAAAATCAAGGCAAAAGAGGAGAGAGAAGTGGGTGTGAGCCTGAGACCAGAGAAGGCTGGAGATGCTCTCAAGAGATGACAGTGTGGAACAAAGAAAGGAGAATCTAAGGACCCCTCCTTTGTAAGGAAGCTGCTGAATTTGCTGCTTGTTTCCACATGAACTTCAGGTTTGGTTTATACAGCCGTAAGACAAAATAAAATTTCAGGATACAATGTGACGTTGCCAGTTTTCCAATAACCAAAGCACTGTTTCCCATAGTCACCGGCTCCTTCCTTAGTGTTGAGGTATCTGGACATGAAAGCACACTCAGCACAACACGAATCAAAAAGGTATGGAAAGCTTATGCCAAGGCTCATTTTCAAATGACAGAAACAAAAATTGTGATCCATCAGAATCAGTATACAAGGGAGCTTTAAATTCTAAAAAAAGACAAGTATCTCCTATAAAGAGCCATGGGGATTTCCACTGGGGCCCTCTAGTGGCAAAACCCAACTAGGACAGTAACTACAAGCATTCAAGAAAAAATAGCATATCCTCAGGGCTTTGTTTTTAGATAAGCTGATTAAGAAGCAAATATTAAAAGACAAATTGTGGAATAATTTATTTATTATTCAAAATAATTCTTTTTTCTTAAAAACTTAAGAAGTTGCAAGTTTTGTGGTTGTTAATTTTCCTTTATAAAATGTTTTATGAAGAGTTGTCAAGTAACTTAATGAATGGTATAATATTAAATAAATCTCTATAAATTAAAGAAACCTAGTATAAAAATGGTTAGGGGGCTGTCAAGATGGCTCAGTGGGCAAAGGTGCTTGCCACCAAGTCTGAGAACTTGAGTTCAATCCCCAGAACTTGCATGGTGAAGAGCGAATCTACTCCTGAAAGTTGTCCTCTGACCTCTATACACACACACACACACACACACACACACACGCACGCACGCACGCACACACACATGCACATGAGAAAAAGAGAGACAGAGAGACGGAGACAGAGACAGACAGAGAAATGTGAAAAATGGTAAGGACACATTTGCCTTTTTTTTTTCTATTTCAAGGGAAGAATATTTCCTAAGTTTCTGAGTGGTAGTTTTCTCTGTTTTTTGAATACTCGCTGAACAAAAGCTTTCCTATCCCAGAATGCACACACCCTCCAGACCATCCTTATATCTGGAAAACATTCTTTCACTTTATAATTTAGATCCATTTGGAAACAATAACAGTAACATCAAAATCTATAGATGACAGAAAACCAAAGCCAGAACATACAGACTAGAAAGACATCCTATGACTTTGACATTCCTTCCGTGCAAGCAAAGGTTTTAGGCAGGCAACAACTTGCATAATTGAGTGTGGGAGTTTGTTTCTTAATCTGAAAAATGATTTTGCATAAGCAACGTTTCATCAAGTAGGAGTCTCCTACCCTTACTAGAGAGGGTTTTCAGGTGAAGCATCTTGGTATTAATAAGATACAATCAAAGTAAGATATCAAAGAAGGTTTTCTCATGAATTCATTGTGTATGAGTGTTTTGCTTGTATGTATGTAAGTCCACTGTGTTGTGCAATGCCCATGGTGGTCAGAAGAGGGTGTGGGATGACCTGGAATTGGAATTACGAATGGCTGTTAGCCACCATAGGGTGCTGGGAACCCAATTCAGGTCCTCTGCAAGAGCAGCCAATGATCTCAACCACTGAGCCATCTCTCCAGCCCCAATTCACCTAGTTTTGGAGACAGGTTCTCTCACTGGGCTCTGAGGCTCACTGAGTAGGCTAGGTTGACTGGCCAGCAAGCCCCAGGGGTCCTCCTGACTCCACTTCCCCAGCACTAGGATTACAACCGTGCAGCACTATAGAGCTCAGATTTAGGTCCTCATCTTGCACAGCACACAGTTTATTAACTGAGCCATCTTCAAACTCTCGTTGATATTAGTTATGATCTTAACCTATAGCTCAAAGCATATTTTTCTCAAAGGTTTGATGAAACTAACAAAATGTCAGTTATCTCCCTACAAATGCCATCCCTGTTAGCATTAAATTATTTTGTTAGAGTAGGACAGAAAGGAAGTCGACGAGTAAGTAAAAGCCCCATTTTCACCATCTTTTATTCCTCACTGTAAACAAATTTTGTTAGCATTTCTTATGATTTCTTTTAAAAACAAAATGTGAAGACAGTATGTTAAAGGTAAAAAAAAGTTAGCCTAAACTACAGAAACATTGGTAAAGTACAACAAAGCTCTTTAGTTTAGACTAAAATATTGCTAAGCACTAAACATGTTATATTCTAACTCATTTTAAACATGGGAAACCGGAAACTGTGATGATTAAATACCCAAGGTCATAGAAGGTCACATATCAGAGCTGGGACTTGCAACCAAGTTTCTATCTCTTAGACTCATTTTGCTTTTTACTCTAAACATGCTATCAATATAAATTGAACAGAAGACTAAAGAACTTATAATGATTTGTCTAATGTAAACATATTTCATTAGTTTTCTCAAGATATTAATTTCAAAGTATGAGAATAATAATGAATTCATTTATCTGTGTCAAGCTGAGATAATTGTGTTGTATAATTTCTATGATTATCAAGGGGTTAGAAAACCCTCTGTCTTTTTTTATAAAAAGAAGGAGCCATAGAGATGCTCAGTGATTAAGAGCAGGTTGGGTCAGCGTTGACGGTGTCTAACAACTATCCGTAACACCAGTTCCAGGGAATCTGACACCCTCTACTGGCCTTTGCAGGCACTGCATGACATGGGTGCACTTACATACATGTAGGCCTTACACTCATACATATAAATAAAATAAATGAATCAAAAAAATCTAAAGATAAAAAGGTTGCAGTCTTATTTTGCCAATCGCTACAGATATCAAAAAAGTCCTGTTATGTGACTTAGATGCATTTTAGCTGTTTTTTGTTTTCCTCGTGACGGATTCTCTTGCCTAGTTACATACTTTGGAGATTCTGAGACTCAACTTCAGGCACAAACAGAGGGCACATGGCTGATTGGACTAAGTGACATCAGTTGAAGACAAAAAACAATATCAAAGGTCATCTATCAACATGTCATCAGTAAATAGAAAAATTCTTTGTATTAATTCCTGAGAAATATATGTGGAACGTTATCCCTGTATGAAGTCACAAAAGATGAATACAGAAAGTTCTGGAATGTGAAATTGCTTCCTGAGATGTGAGAGTGGAATTAAAGAGAACACAGTAAAGTGCTCAGGAAAATAACATTTTAATATGTACTTCAATTCTACATCTATTTTTCTATCTGTAATCACCTTTGTATAGCTATAATCAGTATTAAAAATTTTAAACAATCTTAAAATACTCAATCCTAAAATAGCATAGACCAGTGACTGACTGCAGGGCCTGTGATATACCTGGTTGCCAAATTTTTCTCAGGTGTCCACTGGTTGACTATGGGACCCTGCACAAGTTACTTAAGACTCTGTGTCTCAGTATCTTTAAGTGTCAATTTCATAAAACTGTTGTGGCTATTAAGTCAGACATATTATCCTTTGAAACAATAATATTAGTTAAGATATAATCATTATTTTTAATATGCAGAGATCTATTTTTGACTTAGGCTTTAATAATTTTATTTAAATGATTTTAATTACTAAGTTGTTTTAGTTTATAATTTGAGGCGCTTCCTGTTCACTACAAATAACTGATGCCAAGAGTTATCTTAAAAACAGAATTGGAATATTTGGGCTTAGAGAGTGTGGAGTGCTATTCTCTCAAAATGCTTCCTTAATTAAACTGATAATTGGAAAAAATATTATTTGAAGTGCTCTATGTTCTATGGATTAACTTAAATAATGTTTATGATAAATCACTAGGAGAAAGAATATAGCAAGATTTTTATGATTCAGAAATGTGTGTTTGGCCTTGGGAGGTGTCAGTCAACAGACAGTCAACTGACAGCTCTGCTAACATCATCAAGCAACAAGACCCCTGGCATGCGCTGTGTTCATCAGAAAGAGCAAAGCAGAGGTTCAAACCTACTGAAGGTCCTGGCTTTCCTCTTATCCCTGGTGGGCCCGGTGAACCAGTGGTGCCCTAAAAGAAAGGATAACAGAAGGAAAACAAAGCTGTTATCTAAAAAACCCTTCTATTTGTGAATTACTAAAAATATTCATGAGTATATTCTAAAATTTAAAAAAATTCTGATACCATACCCTAACAAAATACGTGGTTGAAACAATAAGCATTCCTTTACTTTGAATTAACGCATCTTAATTTTTCATATTTATCAAATTAATGGCAGGAAAGTTACCTTGTCTCCAGGATACCCTGGTTCTCCTGGCTCCCCAGGCATGCCTTGCTCACCCTAGGAAGCAGAATTTGATTGACAGACACTGAATTATAAATATGATTACAGAATAAGAAGGCTAGTATTAATTATTGAAGAAAAAGTTTTTGATTTTTCCTACTTTTTAGAACAATTAATATAATTGATAATACAAACGAGACCCTACAAACAAAAACAAAATATTTGCTAAGTTCTGTTAACATGAAAGAATTGGTAAGAAATCATCTCCGTGATAATGTTAATATTTAAATCACCTTATCACCTTTGATTCCAAGTGGTCCTTTATTCCCCGAAAGGCCCTAAAAAAAAGGCGATATTTGTCACCTCATGGAAAAATGAAGGAGGGATATCCATTATGCAAATAGAGCCATACCATTGGGCCAGGAATTCCTGAAGGTCCAATTGGTCCTGCAGGACCAACATTGCCCTGAAAAGTAGTAAGAAAAGTATCATTAAGCATTCAAAATGTGGATGTTAATAACTGATTAACTGAAAACAGTTTGCCTCGTTTTCAGCAACTTTTCTTCTCTACCTTTAAAAATAGCACCCATCTTTTAAACTTTAGGTAATCCAGCCTTCTTTCTCGGGGCTTTTACATTTTGGGTCAATCCACAAGGATCCTTCCTTCCTTTGATCTCCTACAACCCTACTGTCCACATCGTGCAAATAGTTCTCCAAATAGGTAATAGCTTGTAGAAATATTTTAGTGTAAGCCTTCCAGGAAGCAGTCAATAGGCACATCAACTGTTTTGGATTTTTATTTCATTCATTATTTAGAAAAATATTTATTGAGATATTGCTAGGTGTCTGACACTATAGTAATTTTGTTTTATGATTTATAATGTTCAGAATGAGAAAAAAAATTACCATGATTTTAGGGATACATGGAGCAGAAAACAAAAAGTTCTACCTTTTGGGGCTTATCTGATTTATTCATTATGTAATATGTTCTAAGCATAGCCTGTACCAGACACTAAAACTGGTAAAGACACAAAGAAAAAAGAGGTAATCTCTATTGTTAAGGTTCTTAATCTAATGCTCCAATTTCTCAAAAACAGAACTGCCATCGCTGTTAAGATAGGCACTTAGTTTAAAAACTCCTTCAACATGTTTTCTTAGAAACAAAGGTCAGCAGCAACAATGTGGTATTTGAAAGAACAAAATGTGGGGCTCCCACGTAGGTTTGGAGATCAGGTGTGATTTGGGTTGCAGAGGCTTCAGGTTCCTTCCTGTATTACCTCTACTCTGGATTCCACAACACTCTTCATCCTGATGAACACTTTGGTTCTAACCTCTCTTGTTCCCAAATTCCCAAATGGTAAGGAACTTTAAAGTTGTATTTGCAGCCATGAACTCTGGCACATGACTGTACTTCCAACTACTCTGGAGGTTGAGGCAGGAGGATGGTTCAACCCAAGAATTCAAAGCCAACCCGGGCAACATGGCAAAATAGTGAGATACCAGCTCAAAACAAAAAATAGCAAAGAACAAAGGGCAAGCTGAGAGTGGTGGGCTCATAACCCTAGCACTCAAAAGCGTTTGAGGCCTGCCTTGGTTACATAGTGAGTTTGTTAGCTTGGGGCTCTCTCATAGAGACACCCTGTCTCAGAAAGCAAAACCACCACAGAAAGTTATATTTGTGAGCTACTAAAAATGTAACTCAGTTTAGTTAGTATTCAAATTACTGAGCTAGCATGCCAGACCCTATCAGATATCCGCCACCCTTCCACTCCTCCCTCCTTGTAGATAGTCTCCCTCCTCCTTTTTCTCCCTCCTCCAAACCGTACATTCACCTACAATGGACTGGTTTTTTCTCTGACCATACTTCCCCTCATTACATGCTCTGAGCCTTGGAAGATACAGTGACAAGCAACAGACTACTATTAGTATGCTTCTCCCCCAGCCTCGAATCTGTACATTTTATGAGGACAGAAGTACACTTCATTTATTTTTTACTTCCTAGCCTCAGTTTATTAAGTGTGACATAATAGTTTTGAAACTAAGTGTGGAATAAATACTGAAGGCATTAACTTTAAAAAATTTAAACATCAATCTTTAGAGTTCTATCGCCCAACATTTTAACACAGCATGCATAATAGTCTACATTTATATAATGCAAATTTCAGAATGGAAAACATGACATTTTTACTTTTGGATGAGTCTTTAAGTCTGTGAAATATAACTAAGACAAATTATTCCTGACTTGTTTAATCCTGAAATATATAGGACTATTAGTAGCAAAGGGTAATATTTTCCAGCTTCATAAATATGCATAGCAACACATCACTGCTTGTAATTTCAAACTCTGTCAGAAGGACAGAGTCAATCAGTTCTTCATATGATTACAGTGGCTAGTTTATTCAAAGTTCATAGCTTTGATGCTTATGTTGGGCTCAAAAACACAGTAAGTTTCTGTGTTAGGAAATTATGCAGAAACAATCCATGGAAGCATGGGAAGACATTTTACAAACCAAATGTCTTTCTTGGTGTTTTTTTTTTCCAGACAATATTTAACATTCTTAACTTTTTCAGCAAATATATTATCATGCTTAATCTGGCATTTGCAAATGAATGTATTTTGCATATATAATATCTTATGTTATATTTTGTGACTCTAAAAGAAAAACCACAAAATAATAAATATTGAGAGATACTAAAAATATATGTTATAAAGGACTTATTAACATGGAAAAGTATAAGGTAAAAATTGAATAACAAAGTACAGGACCATTATATGACATATCAGAAACCGTGTGGAAAATCCTTGTCCTGAAAAATTATAGATAAACCCTTCTAAAAACAATACATGAGAGTTTCCATTCCTTATGGTAATCTGAAGGTCCAGTGTTCCCTACATTCCATAGTCTTCTGTGTGAGAAGATAGAACAAACAGAAGATGCATGGCAGCTTGGTAGAGGAAGTCTGGCATATAGCATTAGGGGCTAAAAAGCCTCCCAGATAGATACAAAAATCAGAAAAATCTTTGAGTCAAATTAAGTCAAAGAAAGAAAGATTGAAAACATTGGTTCTTTATATTAAAAACAGGAGCCACCAGCCAATTAATAAAAATTCATATGAGTACATTACAGAAAAGACTGGACTTTTCACCCAACCTACCACACTCAGTATCATGACAGTATGATGATAAGAACCAGCAGTACAGGAAAATTCAATCAGTAGACAAAGCATCTGTCTGTCCCCAAACTGAATGGTAAGAGAAAATCATCAAAGAAGAAAGAAGTGAGTCTTTTACAGCTTATACCTTTGAAGAGACTGAGTCCTGCCTAATAATCTTTAATGAGGTAAGTGTGGATACATCCATGCATACACACATGTTAATTCATATAAATAAGTTATTTGAGCTTATCACAAAAGGATGATTATATTTTTATGCATACTATTAGTCCAATTTTCGTGTTTTAAAAATACAATTAAGCAGGGTTAATATCCAACAATGACACTGAAACTTCTCATTTCCCTAAGTTTTTAAAAGCATGCATAACAGTTACAAATCACACACTATACTAGTGCATAAAAATGATAACATTTAGGGATACTTACTCTCAGACCAGGAAATCCTGGAGGACCGATGCCACCTACAAGTCCCTATCATAAAAGAAATGTACAATTATGATTCCAAACTACTGTGGGAATTTTCCGAAATGAAGATAGACATGTATAGGAAACAACATGCCAAAATTGATCTTCCACTAAATTTTACTTCTGAAACCTCACTACTCATACATACCTTCCTGTGAAGAACAAATCTGTACAGCAATTTATTCTTTCCTAAGCACCATGCTTTTGGATGTTAGAACTAACCCCTAGACTAGGATGTAAAATTCTCTGTGCAGTCTAAGTACTTAATAAAGGGAGAAAGCACAATTGGTAATCAACATCCCAGGCATAACTGGCTTGAATATATTGTTAGAACAATATTTTCAGATCATTAAAAAATCATCACTTATTTTGAAGTATATTATTTAATGTCTGTTTTCATCATTATAAAAAGCATAACATTTTGTGTCACAGAATTTACAGGTAATGAGGGGCAAGAATATCCCCTCCCTACTCTTTGCTTTTGTACTTTGAAACACAGATACGGTATAAATTATTTTAAAAATTATGAACATAGCTATAAAACAGAAATCCAAATGCCAGGCAAGGGAAGCTTCCCTTTGAGCTGTTGGTCAGGATTGTCCAAGAGACTCCCCACATAATATAGGTTATTGCTACAGTCCTTGGTTGGCTATAAGAATTTGAAGGTAAGACCCTAATACTGAAGATACCATATACTTTGGATATGAGACTTGAACAGGAACTCACCTGGAAGCCTTCTTCCTAAAGGCTAGCTCTCATAGTATCGAAGGTGCTATCCAAGGGAGAAAACCAATCAATGGTCCTACCCAGCTGTAAAGCCTACAAACCACAATGACTGGCCAAGAAAATTATCTCTGTTGGTACAATAGTGGCACTTTTATATTGGTGGTAAAGCTGCCTAATTAAACGTAAGGCCCACTCAATATGAGGGAATCCATGAGGGGTACTGTAAACATAGCCAAGTACACATGGTTGGAGTACTATAAACACAGTCAAGTACACATAGACCCTAAAAAAGAACCTATTGCTACCACTTTCCTAGACCAATGTAATTTCTTACTATATTCTAAGTACTTATTCTTATATTCACAGTGTAAGTGTAGATCTCACCACTCATCAAAGAAACTTCTTTTTGCAAAAGACAGACACTATTAAAAAGTTCCACAACAAAATACAGATGATAAGTGATTGTATAGTGCTTAGCCCCAACTAATACATCTACAATCGAACCCCTACATCTAAGGCTCAGGGAACATCACAGAAAAAGGGGTGGAAAGATTTTAAAAGCCAGAAGACAAGAATGCCTGCTGCTAAATAATGTATTCTCGACCTGGTAGGGAAGCTGAACCCACGAAATCGCCACAATATGGCAGCCTAATGAGACCTTTCATATTAGGTCTGTAAGTACACAATGGAATATTTTTTAAGCCTAAATAATGATGACTCTATTATTAATACACTTGAAATTAGAAACTCCCCAGAATCACAGGCAAGAAAACATTGGTAAATATTCAACTTGTGATATTTAAACATTTAATAGTTTATTTGGACTCTACTTTAAACCTTGACTAAATTTACAAAATTAGCTAATTACGATATCACAAGAGAAGATTAAAAAGAAACTGTCTTCAAACTTTTATGATACTGATCAACATACGTCTAAATATAGGAACTATTCCTAATTTAGACTACAAGGATTTTGTGTGGATTCTAATCACTGTAAAATAAGATGAAAATGTGCATGTCATACACTGGGGAACATGTTTCAGATTCTCTTCAAGGAGAAAAAGTGAAGCAACTTCGAACCAATGTCAAAGACATAAATATGGCATCATTCTTTGTTAATACAATTGCAATAATTTTAGAGTGGTAACTTTTTCCCAGTCTGAAGAGTAACACCTGAATTTAGAGAAAAGTTGTTTTCAGTAAAACACTAACAAGCATGGTTAATGTCTTCATTATGAAAGTCAGGACTGCTATTGCATACTTTTAATGTTCTAATTAAGCACTCACACCTAAATACGGTCAAAATAATTAATTTTAATGTTTATCTGTTGTGATAGTGGTTTACCCAAAATACTTGTGACTTATTCACAATACTGAAAAATGACAGATTAGCGTGTGCACAGTGGCATGGAAATTGTCCAGCTGGTAGTGTTTGTTTGTGAATATGATCGTGTGGATGCCACATGCACTATGGAGCACAGATAATGTGAGAATGCAAGGATGGAGCACAAGTACTCACAGGACTCCCGTCCAGACCAGCAGGGCCTCTGTCTCCAAAATCACCTGGAAAACCCTGGCACAGGGAGAGAGGAAGACTATTTTAAAAGCCAGAATATATAAAGAACTCATTTTCACTGTTTTCTAATGAAGAATTTAGTAAAAAAAAGTATGCATTTCCTGGAACTGGTGAGATAACACAGTCAGAAGATTGCTTGCCACACAATGCAAACTTTCAAAACCCATGTAGAGAAGCCATGGCTTGGTGGAGCACATTCATAATCCCAGAGCTGGGAGGGTAGAGACAGGTGGGTGGGTCCCTGGGGCTCCCTCCAGCCAACTTGGTGAGCTCTAGGTCAGTGAGCAATCTTATCTTAATGCTCCACATGGAAAACACAAAGAAGGTGGATGGCTCCTGAAGATGGCACCTCTTGCCCTTACACATGGGCACACACACACACACGCATGTGCACCCATATCCACACACAAGCATTCAAACACAAACAAGCATTCAGACACATGTGCACACACACATGCATGTGCACCCATATCCACACACAAACACATTCAAAGTAAGAAAGAAAAAAAGAAAAAATTTATTTCCTACACCATTATCTGTAATCCAACAGTTTTTGGATTACCTTTCATTGATTTTTAAAAACAATATTTCCATTTTATTTTGAGATAGTCTCACTATGTAGCCCTGACTGGCCTGGAACTCACTGTGTAGACAGCGGACCTCAGAGTCATAGAGTTTTATCTGCCTCTGCCTCTCAAGTGCTGGGATTAAAGGCATGTGCCACCTTACCCAGCTATTTATGTTTTATAAACATTGTTTTATATGCTACATAACATATAAAAAATTAGTTATGACAGAAATTTGTTCATCATTCCATAGTCACTGAAGGAGAGCCAACAGAAATAAGACTGTCTGGCCAGTTCGCTGGTTGTCTCTGCTATTGCATGGGGCTCCCAAGCCCACATTCAACACAACTATTATTAAGTATGTCCCACATTTCAAGGACTTTATACACACTATTATTTATATATAGTTCGTCTTCACAACAGATCTATTCAAGATTCTAAGAGATTCATTTTGCATTTGAGGCAATTAAAGTATAGGGAAATTAAGTCCCTTACACAGGTTTGACCAAAAACAGGGGCATTCCAATTCCAGAGTCTATGCTTTTTCTAAAATGCTCTATAGTTTAAAAATATTTTTATTATTTTTATTTTATGTGTATGAGTATTTTGCCTGAGTGCATGTAAGTACACCACATGTGTGTAAAGCCTGCAGAGGCCAGAAGAGGGCATCGGATCCCTTGGAACTGGAGTTACAGCCAGTTGTTAGCTGCCACGTGGATGCTGGGTCTTAACCACAGAGCCATCTCTCCAGCCCCCACAATGCTATATTGAACAACTCATCATTTCAAGGTTAAGTACAAAAACTAATTCTTTGAGGTACAATTTTACAAGGAGATGGTATAACACACCTAAATACTGAAAATGTAGTGTTTCCAATGTCTAATTCCACACTGTAAAACTCTGAAGGATAGCAAGATAACATTCTCATTAGGGATTCTGTTTCAAAATAACTCAACACTCAGCTACTCTTTCTAAAGTTTTTCTTTAATGACCTATGATTGGTTTTCCTGAACTTTAAAGTTCACAATAAAAAACTATTATTATTGTGTGTGCATGATGTGGGTAGGGGAGGGAGATGTGTGTGCCATGGCATACATGTGGAGGTCAGAAGACAGCCTTGTGGATTCAGTTCTGTTAGCATTTACAGAGTTTGCTACTTGCCAGACATTGATCCAAGAACTCTACAGCCTGTAACAGTCGCTCTTATGACCTCCATTCTACAAAAGGAGAAACCAAAGCAGAAAAGTTAAGTAACCGGCCCAAGACGACACAGCTAGTAAGAAGCAGCGCCAGAATCCCCGGGCTGTACTCACCTCCAGAGCCTTCATGGCTCCTAGCCAGGCAAACCCTTGGATGATCTCGCAGACCTGAAGCAGGAGATTTCTGCGATCCAGGCCCTCCTGCTATTCTCCTTATTGCACTGATGAGAACACACAGACTCCAAGAGGCAAAGTATTTTCCACAAGGTCAAAATGCTGAGCCAGACCGCTGCGATTTCAAAGGCCTTCCCATTGAAATGCAGCATTTCAGCAACCTGGGTGGGGTGTGGTGGGGTGGGCCCTGAAGTCTTATGGGGATGGAGTGGGCAAAGAGCAGACTTCTCAAGACTGAGGAACAAATCCACAGAGAAGAGCTAAGCTCAGGATCTCTACCACTGCTTTTCCTTTCAAGACTGCCACTTCCTACCTGACGGGCTAGTCACTTCCTGTTCTTGTTTCCTCGTTTGCCTCCCACATCAGAGTAATACCATGGCAATAAAGTATTACGGAGAATGAAGGGACTCTGAGAGGGAACAGGAGATGCCCGAGACATGCCACCTGCACAAAAGAACAGTCACTCCCTGGATGGTGAGGCTCTCTTCTAAATCCTGGATGCTAGTGACACCTAAGACTTGGCCAGGTGTTATGAGGGTTCTGTTCCAGAGGAGAGTCAAAATAGCAGAAGGAAGGAGAAGAGAGATAGGGAGAGGAGGGACAGAGAGAAAAGAGATGGGGTGGGAGGCAAGGAGGGAGAGAGAGAACATCAGGAGACCACCAGAGATCCCAGGCAGAAAAAACAAGACTTAATTTCTTTTGGGTAGATCAAGTGGGTACATCTCTCCCTCCCCCTCCCCTGGCAACAATGTTTCCTGGGCTGGTGCCTCTATTGCACATATAAAAAGTTGGGTGTGGTGGCACATGCCTACAATCCCAGCTCTGGGGATGCTGAGCTAGGTAGATTCCCTGGAGCTTATGGTCTAGCCAGTGAGGCTGAACGAGGAGCTCCAGGTCCAGTGAGAGACTGTGTCTCAAATATAAGGTAGAGAGCAAATGGTGACCTCTGACCTTCACAGATACATGCACACACATACACACACACACACACACACACGCACACACACCCACACATACACACACCACCAACAACAGCAACAACAGCAACAGAAACAAGGAAGTAGTGAGTCTGGAAAGGACCAGGGTTACTAAAGGACATTCTTGGGCACCCACTGGGGCTCACTAAAGGATGTGCTACTTGAAACTTAACACCTCCCACACCCCATCCAGGTGCAGAAGCTGCTCTCTCATGCAGCCCCCCACATAGCTGGTGATTCCTCCCTGCATAGGAGAGAAGAGAGAAAAGCAAAGAGAGCACTGTGATCAGTTCTTTGCCTTTTACAAATCCCAGACTTTCTACACCCAGCAGGAAACAGAAAGTTTACTTTCAACTTCCAGTTTATCTTCTGGTCAGTGGACATATGTAAATACTAGTGGCTATATCCTGATTTTATCCCTAAAACAATTTAGTTTGACTAGAATCTATTTTGAGATTTTAAAAAAATGTTTATTATTCACTGAACAGTCCCTATGTACACTCTATTCTTGCTAGAAATAATTGATTTTATTATTCTTATTCCATATGCATACTGATCATTATATGAAATTTTTTCAAGAAATTGCTATGAAGTTTAGACATCTTGTTTTCTTGGAACAAACACAGCCACTGCCGTGAAAGCATCATTGTATCTGGCTGTAGATCAGATATATTTTCTTTAAAAAGATCCCATGCTGATGTCTGAATATTTCACTCTTTGTTATCTGTTTATTCATGCTTCTTTAAATTACAGAAACCACCAGCATGTATTTTAATACTGGCAAGGTTATGAATTCATGAATCTAAATGTTTGTAGCCACATACCCAAAAAAGAATCTTTTATCTTAGTCGGAAACATGGAACAGTTGTAATGAACTAGGATGCCTTTGATCTTAAGAATATGAGAGACAGTTTCTATATTCTAATTCAAAAATTTTTCTTCCCAGATGAAATTCTGTATTTTGTATCACATTTACCTAGATGAAAGCTACAATCATTAATTCAAGCCACTGTCAAATAATATAATGGTTATTTTCAAGGATTAGCATCAAATAGAGATAAGAGAACTCCAGAATTTTCATTTTTTTGCCTGTCTGTCAGTTTCGTGAGTGTCACCTTCATGCTTAAATAGGTATGGCAGAGTTGAATTGTTGCTCCTGTACTGTATTAGTTCTCTTCTTTCATTTTTTTTAAACAATAACAGAATTCTATATTCTAAGAGATATGGCATTTTAGGGATTTCATTTGATCCTTCAAGATGGCAGGTGATCCCAAAGGTCCTCGCTGCTGACACCTCTGCCACCCTTTGTGGTTGGCAGGTGTTACTTGCATAAACAAGTAGCATGTAGCAAAAGGGCTGGATGTGACTGCCACTGCTGTATCACAAACACTAAAACTCTTAGTGTGATGATACAGACTTCTCCGACCAGCTTGATGATGTTGGCAGCTGCATTGGAGGATTCAATACGGCAAGGAACTTGGAGTGACTTCAAGAAACTGATAGGCTATAGAACCTGAGGTGGCCTGTAACCCAAGCTTGTAAGAAACCAGGGTCCTCAATTCTTAGCCTTCAAAATGAACGTCTTCCCAGAGCCTGAATGAACTTGGCAGTTAACATTTCCTCATTCAGACCCCGAGATGATACTGCAGTGTTGCTGACACTTTATGACAACTACCTGGTCATCTGGGCAGAAGACCCAGTCAAGCAACACTTGGATCCTGACCCTTGAAAACTGTGAGGTAAGTGGTTTGTTTCAACCTGTCAACTTTGTAGTATTTGTTATGTGGCAACAGAAATAGAAACTTAATGATAACTACCGATTTAATTTTTAAACAGAGAAATCTAAAGCCATCTTGCAAATTTTATTATAGGTAATGATCAATATAAGTCTACTCACATTCTTTCTAGTTTCTCAAAACATAAGTCACTCACTTTTTTGCAGAAGTTCTACTCCTGTTTTCATTGTAAGTTCAAATCAATGAACATCAAAGTAAGACGTGGTAGTTGTTTTATTTACCTTTCAAATTTTTGCTATACTCTTAGAAAATATTTATATTTTTGACTATTTTTATTGAATTTCT